TAGATGGCCACCAAATTCAAGGCGACAGCATGATCCGGTGAGGGCTCGCTTCTGGGTTTGTAGATGGCCACCAAATTCAAGGCGACAGCATGATCTGGTGAGGGCTCGCTTCTGGGTTTGTGGATGGCCACCTTCTTGCCATATCCTCACTTAGAGAAGGAGAGTTGGGGTGGCGCCTATGGTTCAACAGAGAAAGAGAGTTTATCCCTCTGTGTTCCTTCATATAAGGACACTGATCTCATAACTTCCCAAAAGCTCTACCCCCAAATTCCGTCACACTGGGAATTAAGGCTTCAACATATAAATTGGCGGGGGGGGGGCACAAACATTCATTTCATACTGGGGAGGACACCCAAGCATACTCCATCTGAGACCATATCAGTAGAAGCAAAATGTCATATGTGGAAGATTGTAGACATGTTCTTCTCCCCCAGTCAGACTCCACCAGGTGTGCCCCCTTCCTCAGCACATATGCACAGGGGGCCTCTCCTCTACCCCAGGGTCTGGCCTACAAAGAATTATGACAAATAAAGCAAAGACAGAGGAAGGCATGTGGGAAAGGCTTCCTGAAATCAGGTCCAGGAGAAACCACTAGATGGGCAGGGCTGAATAACACTGGATCAGGGAAGTGAATGGGGGGGAGGACAGAGGAGGTCTGACCACTAGGGATGGATCACACCAAAAGAGGCTGCTGGGACCTACACTCTGCCATTGGCGCTGAGGTGGGACCTCCAAGCCAAGTCAAGAGTTTTCAGAGGGTATGATGGAAACAGAGACAGTGGCCCACTTCTGAGCAAGCGCTGAGGACAGTAGGAAGTCCAGACTTCCACCCCCCTCCCCTGCATGAACCTCTGCCCTGGCCTCTTCCCTAACCTTGGCTTTGGGAAACACATTTGGCTCTTTGCTAACCGCTCCTTCTTTCTGTTTTCTGAAGAAAATTGTATAATGTCTACTCAGAGACCTTCACTACCCATTATCTCTTTTATTCATAACAATACTCTAAGGCAGGGATTATCATCGTCACTGTGGAAGGGAAAACTGAGACCTGAGCCATTAAACATCAGAGCTGGGATGTAGGGACATTCCTTGTAACCATAAAATTCATTCTTTTTCACTCCGCCTAGCTCCTTCCTCCTCACAACCTCCTCTTCCTCCTCTGTCCCATGCAGGTAGACCACTGGCATGGAGCACAGCCATCTCCCTGGTGCTCTTTGTGTGGCTGTCTTCTGCCTTCTGGGCAGCCTTGCCCCTCCTGGGTTGGGGCCACTATGACTACGAGCCTCTGCGGACATGCTGCACCCTGGACTACTCCAGAGGGGACAGGTGAGGTAGCAGCTTGGAGGCTCCTTCCACAAGAATCTTGTCCTTGAAATCCTACAGAAAGGGTCCCCAGCTGAAAACCCAAAAGGGGAAATGTCAATATTTGCCAGACAATCTCAATGCCTCGGTCATGATACCCACCACCACGTTGACAGTGGGAATGGGAAGAGCCTGTTCTGAAGACTGCCAAGTAATGAGAATTTTATGCAGATTAGGACCCAGAGTTGAGACCAAGAAAGGGCATCACACAGTGAGCCCTGGCTTGCGTTGTTATAACAGTCACAGAGCCCCACCACACTTTGCCATCTTCAGCATGGTCAGCTGTCCTGACTTGGACCTTATCTAATTCTAGAGGGAGCCATGCCCTTAGCATTATAGATTCAAAGAACATTAAGGTCTTTGCACTGAGAAGGACTCCCTGGCATGGAAATCAACTCTAGAAATTCCCTGAGCATCTGGGGAATTCCATGAGCCAGTCCCTGGAGAGACAGAACTGAAAACATGCAGGTTCCTGCCACCATGAGGCCCATGTTCTGGTGCTGCCCTGTCCAGGTGGTTCTGGGAAGACCAGGACTTAGAAAGACCTTCTAGGGGCTTCCTTGCGGAGTGGTCAGATGGGCTCTGGCCCCTCTTGATGCCACATTGCATTTATCTGCTTTACCCAAGATGTTTAATCACAGAGCATCTGTCCTCACAGCAGGCTTCCCAGGTGAAGCCCATTAGGGCACGCTCTGCAGGGGACCCCAGCCAGAGTCCACTCAGTGCTCCTTCTACCCCTCTTTAATGGGTAGCTCTAAGGGGACAGGGTCTACCCTTCACAAAATGGGCATCTGCCTCCCTGTGACTCCCACTGCCCCATAACATTACCTGAGACCCCAGACTCTTCTGTGGTCCCTCCTTCAGTGACATGGCATCCAATCTCCTTGTGGTCTATAAGTTCCTTTCAAACCCCTCTTGGTCCACTGACACCCCTACCACTGGGAGAACATGTTTCCCAAAATAAAGCGCCTTCATTCTTCAAACCGGAGAGTAGGGCTGAGCACTTGAATTTGAAGAAGGCAGGTTCCTTCTCTCAGCCTTCCTGAGCTCCCAAAGGCAGTTCTAGGAGGACCTCATAGCTCCCTGGCTCCTAAAGAATGTTCACCCAGGACCCAGGAGTGAACACACTCTGAGTGCTGGTCTGGTGGGGGAGGTCCCCCACATCTGATTATCTAGGGCATTCTGGTGGGGCTGTGGGGGCAGCTGACCGTCCTGAGAGCTGCCCTCACTCTTCTAACCTCCTGTCTATAGAAACTTCTGGTGGGGCATTCTGGTGGGGCTGTGGGGGCAGCTGACCGTCCTGAGAGCTGCCCTCACTCTTCTAACCTCCTGCCTGTAGAAACTTCACCAGCTTCCTCTTCACCATGGCCTTCTTCAACTTCCTCACGCCCCTCTTTATCACACTCACGTCCTACCAGCTGATGGAGCAGAAGCTCAGGAGGAGCGGCCACCTCCAGGTAAGGATCTATTTTCTACGGCTGCAAAATTTCTTGGTCCTCTCAGGGGATACCAGGGGAAAGTGAATAATATGACAGACAACAACCAGGGGTTTGCTGTTTTCAATGATCAGGAAAAAAATTTAGTCTGTGTATAGCATAGCATGTTAGGCTGGAAACCACCCTCCCTTTGCTTGGACCATCAGAGCCTTTGGGGACCAGGATTGCTCAGATTTACCCAGACACTGCAACCCCAAGGGCAAGGGCTGCCTGCTGGACACCATCATGCTGTTAACTTAACTCTTCCCAAGCATTTGAGGTTTGGCACAAAATTATAGACTTTTAAAATGCAACTTTGAAATTGCTTTGAGAGGTTTAATTTAATCACAGTCTTGAGCTGTTACCTACAATGTTTAAAAAGAAAATCACACCTGCAAATATATTTGTCTAAGAAAAACAATACTTCAAAATAAGCCACCCTGGCCATTTTTAAATTTCTGCATAATATTTCCCAACCACGATTTTCTTTTAACTTTGTCACCTGGACATCCTCTAGCAAATGAGTCATAACAAGCAGCAAAAATTAGAACAAAAACAGTTATTAATATTACTTTATGTTCGTTGTCATTTGATCTTTGTAACCACTCTCTTGGAAGGAGGTTTTATTATTCCTGTGTCAAAGACTAGCAAATCAAAGCTTAGAGAAGTTAGCTAAGCAATTCATCCAAAGCTGTATACCGAGATATATTGATAATATTATAGCAGAGACGGAGTCAAACCTAGCCGGGTGCCCCTATGACTGGGTGGTGCCCGCGCCTCAGCCACTCTGCGAGTCGGCCTTTTTTCCTGTTTGTGTCTCATCCTATAAGCCCAGAAGAGGGTAATCTTGTGGGGTCCGTGCAGCTGCTGATGGCAAGCTGCTTCTGAGACTGAGGCCTCAGGACAGCTCAGCCTGGGGACCTTTGTGTATTAAATCAGGGAGCCCAGGATTCCTCTTAAAGGGCACAGACCCAGAAGAAAGTGCCTTATCCATCTCAGTCCCGGCCTCTGGGCAAGCCAGGCCCTATCAGACCATCTTACAGACTAGACAAGCAAGATCACGAAAGCTTAAATAACAGGCTTAAGGTCACACAGCCTTAAACAGCAGAGAGCCTCATCTGGCCCTGAGTTCCTTTGCCTGTTCCACGCTGCCCTGCCCTGCTGAGTGCCAACCTGAGCCCCAGCTGCATGGAGCTGCAGGCCACCTAGAGCAAGTTGATGCCTCCTGTGACAATTTCTTCCCAGGTCAACACCACTTTGCCTGCCAGGACACTGCTGCTCGGCTGGGGGCCCTATGCCCTCCTGTATCTGTACGCAACCATCGCAGACGTGACTTCCATCTCCCCTAAACTACAGATGGTACTGACACCTCTCATACCCAGAGCTGGCGCTCTCTTACCTCATCTGTCTTCCTGTCCTTACAGCCTCCATGTCAGCCTCTTTCTTTCTTCCTTTGAACCTCATAGTGTTCAAAGAATTAGTCTGTCTCCCTCACCCTCCTGGGCCACACCAGACTGCTGTTTGACAATGCCTAAGCCTCATGTGAACTGACAGGGCCAGCCAGCCAGATGGTGGACATGCACCCTCTGATCAGAGGATGATACTGGTGTCCAGACGGGGAACACATGGGTCTGGATGGGACTGGGTTTCCATGGGGCTTCATGAGCCGTGCATCTTCGCCAACTAGTCAGGGACAGCTCAGAGGCTGCAGAACCCAATGTCTGGCAGCTGCAGGGGGAGGGGTAGTCGAGTCTCCAGTTGGGGCCAGGGAGAGAAGCAGAGGCTTTGAAGCTTCCTTCCTGGACTTTTCTGCCATGACAGGTGCCTGCCCTCATTGCCAAAACAGTGCCCACAATCAATGCCGTCAACTATGCCCTGGGCAGTGAGATGGTGTGCAGGGGGATCTGGCAGTGCCTCTCGCTGCAGAGGAGCAAGCAGGACGGAGCCAAGTGAGCCGCCAGCCTGGGACAAGCCCAATGTTGGGAGGCTGCCCTAGGAACACTGTCTGGAGCCTCAGGAGCCAAGACGGTCACCCACCTTCCCCAGAGGCCCTGTTGGGCCTGACCCTAGACTGGAATTCAGAAGCACCAGATTGCATGAATGAGAGCTGTGGAAACAGCCCTTTACATGGAGACTGAGAAACTGTGGCAAAGTGACTCCTAAACTTTCTAACCCTTATAAGGATATTAAAACAGACTTCACAGGGCTGTTGTGAGGTTTGAACATGTACTCCCCAAGCACATAGAAAACACTCATTAAAACAGCCATTAGTGGCTCGGCGCCTGTGGCTTAAGAGGCTAAGGTGCCAGCCACATACACCTAAGGTGGCAGGTTCGAATCCAGCCCGGGCCCTCCAAACAACAATGATGGCTGCAACCAAAAAAAAAACCAAAAAATAGCCAGGCGCTGTGGCGGGTGCCTGTGGTCCCAGCTACTTGGAAGGCGGAGGCAGGAGACTCACTTGAGCCCAGGAGTTGGAGGTTACTGTGAGCTGTGATGCCACAGCACTCTACCCAGGAGGACAGCTCGAGGCTCTGTCTCAAAAAAAAAAAAGCCAATAAAATAATAGCCATTAGTGGCTGGGCACCTGTAGCTCAGCAGCTAGGGTGCCAGCCACATACACCGGAGCTGGCAGGTTTGAATCCAGCCTGGGCCTGCCAAACAATGATAACTACAACCAAAAAATAGCCGAGCATTGTGGCAGGCGCCTGCAGTCCTAGCTACTTGGGAGGCTAAGGCAAGAGAACTGTTTAAGCCCAAGAGTTTGAGGTTGCTGTGAACTGTGACACCATGACACTCTACCAAGAGCAACATAGTGACACTCTCTCTCAAACAAACAAACAAACAAAAAACAGCCATTAGTTAAGACTTAGTCTCACATAGGAAGAGTTCAAAGCCCCAAGATTTGCCTGTGGCAGCTCAACCCAGGCTGCCAGCATTCAAACACCACTTATTAAATCATCCTCTGGTGCAGCAACTTACTCTGCGTGTGTGTCCATATCCCAACTTGTCAGGCAAGATGACAATAATGGTGACTTGACACAGAAAGGACCAGAATGTTACCTGGCATGTTACGTGGCTAAGTGTCAGCCACCAGCATGTGCCAGTCAAAGCCAGCCCCAGGTTAAGTGGGCCTTGACCTGAACATTGCTTAAAAACATTTTGGGATTGGTCACCAACATTTAAAAATCTGGATAATTTATTTTAAAGTCCAGGTGTCAGAAGATGAGGCTCCAGCAGCCTTCCTTCCTCGTAGTGACAGTTTGCACAGCTCAGGGTGGCTCTGCCATCTGCCCAGGACACATGCTCTCTGTCAGCTGCCGGATACATTCTCCCTTCAGGTCCTGTGAGCTTTTAGGTTTGTGACACTAACCCAGGGGTCCTTGTCCCTGGATGTACAATGGGAGATCTCACAGAGTCAGCCCTTGGCGGGGAGGTGTGGCAGGTGCATGGTCCTGGGTGGGACCTGTGGCCCTAGAGGGAGGTGGAGAAGCGTGGGAGGAAAACTCAGGACCAGACAGGAAGCTGCCTGTGGAGAGGCCCTGGCCACGCACCATGGACGCAGCAGGAAGAAAGCTCCATCCCACGAGCTGAGGGGAGGAATAGAGGGGTCCCCAGGATGTAGGGGAGGGGGTGGTAGTGTGAACAGCCCTGGGGTCACTGTAGGCCAGGACTTGCCTCTTAGTTTTGCAAATACAGAAAACCAGACCACATATATACAACCCACAAGAAGCTGGCACAAAGCAGAGGCAGTTCCGTCATTTTGTAAAACCTGGTGGAGAAGGGGAGGGGGACAGCATTCCCCTCACCCTGTTTTCCAGACCATGCCATGTGCCACGTTCTGTGGAGACCAGGTGCCACTCAGCCTCACTCTGGTGCCCACAGGACTCTTGGTTTAGGCCCCTTGGAGTTTGGGAGGGGCAGGGACAGTGCCTGAGCCAGGGCTGGGCTCACACACAGGCTGAGTGGGCGATTACAGAAGTGATAGGTTTCAGGGTCCAGAGATGCTGACTTTGCCCCCCCCCCAAACAGGTCTTTTAAGGGGATCTGCTCTTCACTCCACCTTTAGAGGCACTAACTCCCTCAGGAGGGATGAGGGAGCACCAGGAAAAGAGGAGGGTGGTGACCTCCAGGCTCCCAGAAAGGACCAGTGGAAGACAAGAGGAGGCTAAAAACACACAGCGAGAGGGGCTGGTGTCAGCCCTGCCTGAGCACCGTCCCTGGATTCCCAAGTGAAGAAGAAAAGGCCAAACCCATCAGTGTCCTCACCTGTGCTCAGAGGCGAGGTGGGCAAGAAGGTGGGTTGGCCAGGCTGTGGTCGGGGACACCTCCAGCTCAGGTCCTCCATCCCAAGGCTTCCTGGAGGAAGGGAGGTGGGCCCTGGCACCTCTTCCCCGGCCTGGGCTGGCAGGAGACGGGAAGGGCTGAAGCAGCATCCAGCTGGGAATAACCAAAGCTCCACCTGAAGTGACTCACTTCAGAAGCACCAAGTTTGCCCACAACCCCAAATTCCACTCAGAGAATAGGCGAGTGCCATTCGAGGCACTTACTTAGGGAGTTAGTGCCTTTAATGGTGGAGTGAAGAGACGATCCCCTAAAAGACCTGCTGTCTGGGGGCAAAGTCAGCATCCCTGGACCCCAGACCCCATCACTTTTGTAATCGCCCACTCAGCCTCTGTGTTTCAGTCACTGTGCTTTCCCTGCCCCTCCCCAACTCCTGCCCCTCACCTTCAGGGTTTTCTGCCCATGTCCCTGAGCACCTTTGGGACCGTGGTCCTCTGTGGACACTGCAGGGTCTCTCCTCTGGCCTCCTTCCCTCCATCCCCCTGACATCCCCCAGCCTGCCCTTTCTTGTATCAACTCAGCTGCTGCTGGGGGGAGAGGACAGCAGAGGTCCCCCCCCTGCAGGCCGTCAGCACTGCCACTGATCTTGCCTAGGGATCAAGGCCCAGCCACCTGTGGCACTCAGCCAGGGCCTGGCAGAAGTTACACTGCAGCCCCACTTTGCTCTGCCCATCTCCGAGGTGTATTCACAATCCTCAAACACTCTGCTAGTTTTCAACAGTGAGTATGTATCACTTTTGCAATCAGAAAAACGTAAGTAGTGAAAGAAGTTACTTCCACCTCCCTGGCTGCTCCCGTTCCTCTGATTTTGCTAAAATCTCCACCCTCCTGCCTTGCTCTCCTGCCTCCCAGGAAACAAAGGTCTCTTCCCTCCATTCACTCATGTGTCTCTGGAATGCCAGCTAATAGGCACAGGGTCCTGCTTTCCCGGCCCCAGACACAATGGGTTTTGGGGGAGGACATGCCGATGAAGTCCTTTGTCCCACACTATGCATCACTGGCACCACTGTGCTCTCCAAGTTCCTTGCACCCCTGGAGAACTGAAGCTCCATTCTAGAAAAGGAACAAGATCAAGGTGAGAAATCTGAACCCCACGAAGTCAGGAAAGAAGAGTAAAAGCAACAGAGACTGTGCCAGAACCTCATCCACAGAGCCTGAAGGCTCAGGGTATCCTCATGGGAGGTCTGAGGGACCACCCAACCTTCTCTTACAGGCCCCACAGTGCATCAGGCCCACTGGCCTCCACCCACAGTGCTCCACCAAGAGAACATGCTGATATACAGGCTTCCAGAATGGACCTGGAAGAGGTTGCCAGGAGGCAGGTGTTGAGAAAACCACCTCAAGCCATCACCTCCTCATTTGTAAGCCAGCATCCATTTTATCTCCTCAATCCCTGTCTCTCTCATCTAGCTCTGATATATCCATCTGTTCATCCAGTGTGCATCTAATGAACAACTGCTGGGCATCAGACACAGTGCTCGAAGTGATAACATAGAGCCAGGATCGTTTCCACATGCCTCAGGAAAATGCCCACTGCCATTTTATCTCTTCCTGGCATTTTTAAGTGAAATACAGATGAGACCCCATCTCTACTAAAAATTGGAAAAATAAAAATTAGCTGGGCATTGTGGGGGGCACCTATAGTTCCAGCTACTTGGGAGGCTGAGGCAAGAGGATCGCTTGAGCCCAAAAGTTTGAGGTTGCTGTGAGCTATGATGATGCTAAGGCCCTGTACTCAAGGTGATAGAGTAAGACTCTATCTCAAAATATATATATATATATATATATTTTTCCAAACAAGATGTTTGTCATGGACTGTTTGTGTACTCTGAAATTCATATGTTGAGGCCCTAACATTTAGTGTGGCTATACTTAGAAATTCGGTCTTTAAGGAAACAAACTTAAATAAGGTCATAAGAGTGGAGCCCTCATCCCACAGGGCTTCTATAGGAAAAGGCACCACAGAGCCTGAGTGAGCTCTCTCTGTCCCATTGTGGGAGCACACAGTGAAAAGGTGAGCCCTCACCAAACGCCAACCCTGCCTGTCCCTTATCTCTGACTTTCAGCCTCCAGAAATGTGAAAAAAGAAATTTATGTTGTTTAAACCACCCAGTCTATGTTATTTTGTCACAGCAGCGCTAACAAACTAATACAATGTTATACCAAAGATAAATTGTTAAACAGTGTATCTTGTTTCAACACCATTGTTAAAACAGATGACAGTGGAGGGGGACTGAGAGCCTGGTGTCACCTACCCCCCTGGAAACACCCAGGGCTGCTTCTGCTGAAGCACAGGCTTGTATGAAACCCAATTTAATAAGCACAAGATCCCTGTCTTCTGTCTTCTAAGATCCCCTCCCATTCCAAGGTGCATTGATTCTAGAATTTATTTCAGTTCTTTAGCAAAGAAATACAAGCACAGTAGGACAGTATCATCTACTATCTCATCTTCTTGTTAGCAAAGATGGCTCTGCCTATTGCCAAATGGACTTAAATTTAAGACACAAATAGAGTAGCAAGTAGTCTCCAAGGTACAGGACTGGCCCCCCTTCCAGATCTCCACTCAGAAAAATTTTCCTGCTGAGGGAAGGGGCTGTGTACCTGATTGA